TGCGGTGGCGGTGCTGTTGGCGGCTCCAGAAGCGGACGTGTGGCACCAGCTGCGTTGGCTGTGGCCGGTTTCTGAGGTGCAGCACGACACATTCCGCAGCACAGAACACGATGCCATGACATCAACGTCTTCGGAGACAGCACCCACATAGCACATGAAGCTCCCACAGCCAGCGACATCATCAGCTCAGATGATAGATCTCTGCCTGAAATAGAGCAGCTTACAGGTACAACCTTATGGCACACTTTATGACTTTTATTGAGAGCCGAACATTTTAGAACTTTGATCTAGCAATAAGGGCGATGTTGGGCACAGGATACCGACAGAAGGAACGCCACACTCCCCCAACACTGAGCTCAAGATAGATCTGTCCTTTTCATTCCACGGTTACTGGACCTTTATCGCCAGGATTCTAGGACTAAACCCCTGTTCTCAAGCGTCTAAGCCAGAATAGTATCTATCATTCCTGCGTATTAGGAGAAAACATGGTTGTTCGGCTGATCTAGTGCTAAAACTGCAAAAGGCTTCTGAAAATTTGAGCACCTCACTCTTTAGATCTCCTTTTTCCCAGGAAAAACGATAGGTTTGAGGCAGGTGATGCTAAGAAGGAGAACTCTGCCAGCTGTAAAGGGAGACTAGGCTCTAACAGACTGAGACATGGCATTTTGCGGCTAACGGAGTAGCCGTAGCAGCTTATCAGGCTTTACACGTGATGAATGGTCAAAAAAGAGCTCCTTTCTACAGGTGGCGGGCTAGAAGGAAGTGTCATTGAAAGCTGCTCTCTTCAATTTGCCTTACAAAAGTGCTAATTTGCGACAATTAAAGGTGGTATGTAAATTATCGTAGACGAAAAGTATGTTTTCAGAAAGACACAAGCCCTTTAAAACCACACTTTTAAACGTTGGGATGAAGGGCGGAGCTATTGGCGGCGCATGGAAAGAAGATCGCCGACACATTGGAAAAATCCAAATGAATTCTTCAAATTCTGAGAATTGAGGCAAAACGATCCGTAGAAGAGTTGCAGTCAAGAAGGGAAATGTTATTACCTTCGGTGGAAAAGGCCATAAAGTGTTCAGATATGGTTCGCTAGAGGAACAATCGACTTCGCTTTCCGCAGCGCGAAACCTTTTGACTGTGAGAACCTCATGTTCACTTCGATCACTGGTGGACTTAGGGTTCCCACAGCAAAAGATTTTGCACTATAAGGTGGAAAAGTCGCTTTCTGGCTTAGTGAACCACACGCAGAGTTTCTAGTGAAGACCCAGACCCAGTGAACCAAGTGGAATCGTCGCCCGTCGCCAACATTTGTGACAGATGTACGCCGGAAGTTTGAACGCCCAACACTTGGTTTCCCGAATGGTTTACCCAAACTTTATTATTTTTTTATTTTTATTTATCTCGGATGATGGTTCTCAAGCTAGTGATTTATAGGCGAGATATAACCATGATTTTTCTGGAAAATTCATTCAATTTGCTTACCTGTGGCAGATGTGGACGATGGCAGTGTCCACCTTCGACGCCACCACTACTTTTGCACGCGATTGTAGTCGGATACCATCTCTTCACGATATTGAAGGCATAAATATCGCAAAGGATCTGTGTAACCGCCGGGAAAATGTACAGTAGGCAGAATAGGCCCATCTTGAACATCAGCTTATCGAGCTTCGATGTATCCGTTCCCTAAAATGAGGTCATCAGAACGTAACCTAGGTTTTGATTGTTCAGCAACACAATGAAATCGTTAGAAAATGGTTTTTCAACGTACTCGTCTCCTGAAGCTGTCACGTTCACGGCACATACTGGCGAACCCGGCGATGACGAAGCACGTGCCAAAAAATACAAGCACCGATCGAGGCACCAAGGAGAACACCAACAGGGTCATCGGATCGGTGTTGCCCACGGAGCAGATTCCAGACAGTTCCGATGCATCCACCTGAAAACGACATGATCATGTTGAGGCTCAAAACCCAGTTCGTGCTAACGAACCCTTTGTGACATATTCTCTGCTTTACACTTGGCTTTCTGCCCGGAAATTGACAACACGAGCTGCCGCAACAGCTTTGATCACAACCCTGTAGCTTGCTATTCTAAAACGGATCCCCCTCCCCATTCCCAATTGCCATTTCATTACACGACCCTTTTTCTGGGTATTGCTGCTAACGACCACTTCCACTGCGAATAATAATAGAACTAATCGTAAAAGCGCGAACATTTTTCCCTTACAAATAGTCTTCCTTACCGGTTTACCACGCCAAACCTGCTGGTACCATGGTCATCATCGGGTTTCACTCTACTTTGTAAAATGCTAATTGAAGTGTCCGTCCGTTTGTTTGTCCCTTCTACTTTTCATTACAACAATCACCGAATAAGACGAATTCTCCATTCGAGCCTCTGCTACCCTGCTACCTTTTTTCAAAGTTACAGATTATGAAGGTCTCTTTGTACCCCGCAAAGGTGCATCTGTGATGCAGACTGAACAGCACAAGTGACGACGGCCTCCAGAAAATGTGATTGTTTTACGTCAACGAAACAGCTGGTTGCAATTATTACGTGAATTGTCATAAGTACAACTATCATTCATCGATTATTAGTTGTAATCGTGAACTATCAACTATCGGATTCTTGGAAGCCTTCGTCGGTTGTATTGATTGGTCTGCATTCACAGTGAACCCGGCAGCCGCAAACAAGCGATAGCCTCTTCAGAAGGTATCCGCTTCTTGTGACTTTCTCATACTACGCTTTGAGGGTTCAAGATCTTTCACCCTCCCAAACAAGTCTGGTACTGCCAACCCCAGAGGGAAGGCTTGGTTGGCCCGGACGACTCAGGACTCACGATTTGATCCCCGGACCGCGCGCATGGTAAGCAGCGCCACTTGCGACCACACTACCCCGCCCCCAATTGGAAGATGCGAGATTCTAATCGAGTTATACCACATGACTCGAAAGAGTAAACTGGATTCCCACACCTTTCACTTCCTTTGCAACGAGCTCGTGAAATGCAAAAATTGGGTAAAATATGCAAGTTAAGGAAGGGATGAAACTGATGGGAATGCTTCAATCAACCCCAATCAATCGTTCATTTTTCAGGGTATCTGTCAGGCGTCGCGCAAGTGGGTCCCGGAAGGTATCGACGCATGTTCTAGCTATCTACATTTGGTCGCCTGGGGTACTGCCGCACTGATGACGATCGTCGTTCTTG